TGCCCTGCCCAAGGCATGGACAGACACCCCAACACTGCTTGCCTGCAAAATCCCCACTGGGGAACAGCAATTTCCATCCCTCCCTCCACATTCCCACCACAACTCACCATCCCAGCAGCTCCCAGGCACAGCTCTGTCAAATATTTCATCACCTTTAGCTATAAAAACCCCATCCCCAGAGATCTGAAGGGCCCCACACAAGCCAAGTCCTTCAGCAGGACTTTGTCTCCTCCACTCTCATCCCTCAGGGGTGCTGTGGCCAAAATTTGGGTTATTTTGGGCAATAAATGAGAGAGGTGGTGTGGGAGCCCTGCAGCTGAGCCAGATTGGTGATGGACTGCAGAGAGCATCCCTGGTGTCCCAGAAAATCAAAATCAATACCAGGGAAAACCGGAATGGGGCTCTGGGGCATCTGCCAGCTCCTCAGCATCTCCCCCCAAGCCCAGACAGGAATTGTGGCGCCACAGCAAAGCAAATTAACAACTGGGAGAATCAGAAGCAGCTGGTTCGTGTTTTAAGGGAAAAAAATGGAATTTTTGAAATGAAATCCACATCACCTGATTTGTTCTTCCTGAGGTACAGAAAAGCAAGGAGGAATGTCAGTGCCCTGGGCTCCTTGTGGAATAAACCACTGCTAATATTTAATGCTAAAAACTCTGTACACTGAATATGATGAATTTCTACTCAACACAGAAGAAAAGCAAACTTGAGAGAAAATGCAGCAGATTCTTAATCAAAAGCTAATAAATTCCTAATAAATAGCTTAGATGGCAAACAAAACACTTCTCTCTCTTCCAATTTGCTCAAACCAACAATTTTCTCTCTTCCCTGTGAGGAATTTTCCCTAAAGCCCAGAGGGGGCTGCAGGATGGTTGTAGGATCTGTGTTTGTGGGATAATTCCTTCCAGGGCAAGCATGGAACCAACTACAGGCTGCAACCTGCAGGCAACTCAAGGCAAACACCAACTCTCAATTTTTCCCTAATTTTTTAATTGCAAACCCCTTGCTCACACAACAATGGTCACACCACAAGCAGGGGCTCAGTTTGCAAAAACCCCTGAGCTTTTTCCAGCGGCTTTTCCCATCAAACACAGCGACTTCTCACTAGAAACTGAGTTTAGTCTTCTGTTAAATCTCAAAATAAATGTAACCTCTACCTAGAAGCCGAAATTCATTACATTTATTTTGTAAATAAATACATAAATAAGTAAATAATAAGTAAATAAATAAGTAAATAAATAAGTAAATTAAGTAAATAAATAAGTAAATTAAGTAAATAAATAAGTGAATAAATAAGTGAATAAATAAGTGAATAAATAAGTGAATAAATAAGTAAATAAATAAGTAAATAATAATAATAAATAAA